TCCTGACACCAGGAGAGCGGTTTCAATTAAAAGACAGCGGGAACTACTGAGCCCGTACGCCACAACTACTGAAGCCTAGAGCCCGTGCTCCGCAACAAGAGAAGCCACCGCAATGAGAAGCCCGCGCACCGCAACGAAAAGTAGCCCCGGCTCACTGCAACTAGACAGAGCCCACGCACAGCAACAAAGACACAACGCAGCCAAAAATTTTAAAAAAATTTTTTTAAAGACACTGGTTTCAAGTCCCTCCTAAGTCAGGGATCATGGGTTCAAGTCCCAATCTGAGGTGCAGGTGGGTTCGAGCCCCAGCCTGTGGGTTTGAGTCCCACCCGAGAAGGAGTGCAGTTTCACACCTAACACAGTGCCCAGCATTTCGTAGGTGATAAATAAATCCTGATTTCCCTTTACCTCTGAAGGTGGCTTATAAATTAAGACAAAATTCCAAGTGAAATTCAGTGATTTTCAAAGTATGGTCCTCAGATATTAATGATGATGATGTTGATAAGAATAGCAGTTTCCATTCAGAGCCTACCAATTAAGTGGCAAGCACTTTTAATAATATTATCTATAACCCTCCCCATAAGCTTGTAAAATAAATATTTTCACCACATTAAAAATCACTAAATTGATACTGAGAGGGTTAAATAAGTTACCAAGATATTAAAATGGGCAATTAAGAAAATAGTTTGTAGAGATCTAGACAGAGCCATAGAAATCCACAGAAAGGCTAACCCAGTATGAGATAAATTTCAATAGAATTTCAATAAAATGCCGTAGTAAGTGCTTAATAGTAACAAATGAAAAAAGATAGACTATTTAATCAATATGTTTAATATGTCTACTGAAGTACATAAGAGATGTCATTAACACAGAAAAACATACCTTGACATAGTAAAGTCAATTTGTCATAAATTGACCTATAAAGTAAATGTTAATCAAAATATTCCCAAAATTATTCCTTAGAAATTGATTTTTAAAGTTCATGTGGAAGACTTAACTTGTAAAATTATTCAGAAAAAAATATGAAGCTCAGAAGAATACCCAATATGGGTGAAGGTGAGAGTAAAAGTTCTGGTGGGAGCAGAGCTTGGTATGATATTTTTGGAAGGTACTTTGGCAACACACACACACACACACACACACACAAACCCACATACTTTTTGACCCAATAATTATACTTTTAGGAATTTATCCTGTATCTTATAGGATACGTACAAATACACTTCTTGTAACATTATTTATAATAGCAAAAAATTGGAAACAACCTACATGTCCATCAGTAGGGTACTGGTTAAATTAATTGTATATCCATCCAACTGAATATCTATGACTATATGGAAAGACTTCTATAATATAGTGTTATTTCCAAAAAGTAAGTTGCAAAAAAACATTGTTCACAAAGATGACATTTATAAACAAAGCATGTGTGTATACACACACACACTCTTATTTATATATATCTTTATTCCTAAAATAGGTATGAAAGGATACATAGAAAACTGTTCGCACTAGAAAGTGGGTTGGAAGCGGCAAAGGTCAAGGGACAGAATTTTATTTTTACTTACCTTATAAAGTTTTGCACAATTTGAAGGTATTACAACTTGCATGTAATACCTGATTACTTTTTGAAATAATTTTAATAAATTAAAATTTAAGTAATAAATTTAGATAATTCACTTATTACTTTAATAAATCAATTAAAATAAATAATTAATTTTATAGAATTGTTCATAAAATAATTAAATAACTTTTTAGAAAACTTGCAAAACAGCTTTATTAATATGAATTAGGAGAGGGAAGAACTTTTACCTTTAGACAACAGAATGACAGCCTGAAAAAGAATTTAGGACATTTTACATAGCAGGCTGTTAACAAATGTTACAGATGGCTAAATTTTCGTATAAATTTTCAGTCCTACTCTAGGATCCTGACCTGATTTTGTGGCACATTTCAAACCACCTCCAGATTGCCCCTTAACTAGTTATGAGTAAATGTACTGACCCAATAGCTACAATGTTAACCTACGGAAATTTGAAAGCCACCAAAGCAAGCACAGTTTTTACACATTTTTAAAAGTTGTTTCACTGATCATTACCTAAGCTATTGCTATCAACAATTCCATGCCCTGCCAGATTCAGTCTGCCTGGGCTGGCTTTGGCATGGATTAGAAGCAGGTGGGGTGGGAGTGATGTGCCAAACGGCAACACATTGAGATAAGATCTTTCTACATTTGTACTAATATTTCATCAAGTTAGAGCAGGGCCAGAACCAGGTCTCCTGTTCTCCTGGAGCAGGGGTCCCCAAGCCCCAGGCCACGGACCGGTATTGGTCCCTGGCCTGTTAGGAACCGGGCCGCACAGCAGGAGGTGAGTGGTGGGTAAGCAAGCGACGCTTCATCTGTATTTACAGCCGCTCCCCATCGCTCGCATTACAGCCTGAGCTGCGCCTCCTGTCAGCATTATGGTGAGTATAATTATTTCATTATATATTACAATGTAATAATAATAGAAATAAAGTGCACAATAAATGTAATGCGCTTGAATCATCCGAAATCATCCCACCCCCCAACCCCGTGGAAAAATCGTCTTCCACAAAACCGGTCCCTGGTGCCAAAAAGGTTGGGGACCACTGTCCTAGAGAACTTTTTTCCTCCCCGCCCTCCACCCCCGCCCCCAAAAGGGAACTAAGGATAATAAAAACACTTGTTACTATTTATTAAGTACTTAGTATGAGCCAGGCATTCTGCTAAATGTCTTGGATGGTAATTTTACTTGATTCTCATAATAACCCATGAGGTATTACTGTCTCATTTTACATAAGAAAATATAGATTTTTAACAAATAACCAGAAAACAACTGTAAGGCACCCAAATCACAAATTTTGCTCCATTCTCTTTCTTCTTGAATCACTTTTCTTCATCTGTTCCTTACCAAAAAAGTAGTATTTCTAATATATCATGCACATTTTACTAACTTGTCATATAAAATTCATTTCTAGGGTTCCCTGGTGGCGCAGTGGTTGAGGGTCCGCCTGCCGATGCAGAGGACACAGGTTCGTGCCCCGGTCCGGGAAGATCCCACATGCCGCGGAGCGGCTGGGCCCATGAGCCATGGCCGCTGAGCCTGCGCGTCCAGAGCCTGTGCTCCACAACGGGAGAGGCCACAGCAGTGAGAGGCCCGTGTAGCGCAAACAAACAAACAAACAAAAATTCATTTCTACAGCACAGTATATTTTTTTTCAAAGTCCTACAACTTTTTTTTTCTCTTTGACCCTCGATAAACCCTGAAACACCACACAAAGCAGCACTTAATCCCCTCATTTTAGAAATGACTATCTCAAAGTCCAGCAAGCTCAGGAAAGTCCTTCTCCAATTCCAATTCCAAACTCCTCAAGCGTTCCATAGACCCAGCTGCCTTAGGCTGAACTTTACAACTCAGTCACTACCTTTATAGAGACAACGAAAGCCTTCAGACACGAATTCCCTCTATTTCTCTCTGCTTCCCTCACACTTAAATTTATCTTTATCTATACCCCTTCTTCCCTCATGAATCAGAGAAAGAGGATTCATTCTCTTGTCCCCAAGACTAATTTGTGCCCAGGATCCCATTCCTTCCTATCTATTCCAAGTCATTACTCCACTAATCTCACTTTTCTGTTCATCAACCTCTCTCTCTCCAGTTGCTAATTTCCCTCAGGGAACCACCAGGTAAGTACAGTACTTGCTTCCACCTTAAAAAAATAAAAATAAAAATAAACTTTCTTTTATCCCCCATTCCTCTTTAACTACTGCCCTGTCTCTTCTTTCCTTCTGCGCTAAACTTGAGCTGCCTCCATTTACTTATCTCCCATTCATTATAACATGGATTCTGCCCTTATTACTCCACAGAAATTGCTCTCCCTAAAGTCATTAAGAGCTCTAAACACCACATCTAAATGACACAGTTCTAGTATCCAAATCCAAATTGGCTGGACTCCAAAACTCATGCCCTTCACCATTATACTATGCTGCTTCAAGGTAACCATACTTATAGTCATCCTGATTTCCTTCTCCATCTCAGTCACCAAATCCCAATTAATAAGTTACAAATCCCGTAAATATCTCTGCAAGCGATTTCCTACGGGTGACGACTCCCAAATACTCAAATTAGAAACTCGATTATTTTAAACCTCCAAGACTCAGACCGTATCAGAGGGAAAAATCACTTCTCTTCCATGATTCCCTCTTCCACAGACATATTCAACTTTGTCTTAGAAAACAGAACTTTGAACGTGGAGGGGAATGTCATTTTACAGCTGAGAAACAAGAGGCTGAGTGGTTTACTTATTGTCAGCTTAGCACAGAGCCGGGAATACAAGGGAATCAATAGCGTACATCTGTGGGGAAACACTGATTGGGTGAGTCACAACTGCTGTAAAGGTTTCTTCATTTTGCACCTGGCCTCACTGGCTTGTTTTCAGATTTAAATGGGATCTCTTAGTAAGCACTCGTAGTTAGCATCCGAGGAGCGACCCCTTCTCCTTGCCCACCAAAGTCAGTGGTTCTAACCCTGCTTTGCCCCTACCAGACACTCAATGCAGACCCTGCCGTCCAAGGAGCTCCGGTTGTCAGTCCCCACAGACTCACCTCTTAAAGATTTTTGTCAACAGTTGAGTCAACTTATGACAGCTTAAATTTTCACTTCAGACAGGAAGGCTTGTAGAAGAGTGATAACCCGCGCTTCTCTGACACAGTCCACGTGTCCACAATAAGCCGCAGCCGTTCGTCTTGCCGCGAAACTGCAGTCCCAGAGAATCAAAGAAATGTCAATCACAGCCGAATGTCAGCACCAGGGGCACCCTCCTCAATACTGATTGGCGAGGTGCGCTCTTCCCGGAAGTGACGCACACCTGTCCAAGGAAGAGGCGTCACGGAGCGGGGTGCGGGTGGGGGGTGTGTGATTTTTCCGTACAGAGTCCGCGAGGTGGCTACTGGGAAACGAAAAGGCAGCTCACCACCGGGACGGACCGTCGCTCCTGAGTTCCCTAACCATGGGCCCGCGGAGCCGCGAGCGTCGGGCCGGGGCAGTGCAGAGCACCAACGACAGCAGCGCCGTCAGCAAGACCTCCCTGGCTGCGCGCGGGTACGTGCACGACGCCTTCGCCGCCTTGCTAGTTCCAGGGACCGCGCGCCGCGCGCCGCTCATCCACCGCGGCTACTACGTCCGCGCACGCGCCGTGCGGCACTGCGTGCGCGCCTTCCTGAAGGGGACGTGCGCGGTCCCCGGCGCGCCTCGCGCCCAGATTCTGTCGCTCGGCGCTGGCTCGGACTCGCTGTATTTTCGCCTCAAAACTGCGGGCCGCCTGACCCGGGCTGCCGTCTGGGAGGTAGATTTTCCGGACGTGGCACAGCGCAAAGCGCAGAGGATTCGAGATACGCCGGAACTGTGTGCGTTAACCGGGCCTTTCCAGAGCGGGGACCCCGGGTACACGTTGTGCTTTGAGAGCTCGGACTACTGCATCCTGGGCCTGGACCTGCGGCAGCTTCAGCGATTGGACCACGCCCTGGGCACCGCGGGCCTTGACGCAGCCGCACCGACTCTCCTCCTGGCTGAGGCCGTGCTGACCTACCTCGAGCCGGATGATGCCGCGGCCCTCATCGCCTGGGCCGCCCAGCGTTTTTCTAATGCCCTTTTCGTCGTCTACGAGCAGATGAGGCCGCGTGACGCCTTTGGCGAGTTCATGCAGCAACATTTTCGGCAGCTGAATTCTCCCCTGCATGGCCTGGACCGCTTTCCCGACGCGGAAGCCCAGCAGCAGCGCTTCCTTCAGGCCGGCTGGACCGCCTGCCGTGCCATGGACATGAATGAGTTCTATCGCTGCTTTCTTCCCGCAGAAGAACGCCGGCGCGTGGAAAATCTCGAAACTTTCGACGAGTTTGAGGAGTGGCATCTGAAGTGCGCCCACTATTTCATTCTGGCCGCTTCTCGGGGAGACGCCCTCTCCCAAACTCTGGTGTTTCCACCCTCAGAGACGTTTCCTCGGATAGATCCTGCTTCCCCTTCAGGAGTCTTCCCGGCCAGTATAGTCACTGGTGATAGCCAGGGCCCAGACCTTAAGAGATATGGGCACGCCTCGGTCCTTTTGAGCCCAGGTCTTATTCTCAGTGCTGGAGGATTTGGAGAGCAGGAGGGGCGACATTGCCGAGTGAGAAAGTTTCACTTGCTCTCAAGATACTGTGACTTTGAATGGAAAGGCAACCAAATATGCAGTTGGGGGGCTGGAGCTCAGTGGGATGGACGCCTTTATCACACCATGACAAGACTTTCAGATACTCAGGTTCTGGTTCTGGGAGGGAGACTGTCCCCAGTAACTCCAGCCTTGGGGATTCTCCAGCTTCTTTTTTGCAAGAGTGAGGATAATAACCCTGAGGACCTAAATGTCACAGTCACAAAGGTCGGCCCAGAAGAAGATTCCACTTTGTCATGTTGGCGCCACTCGACAACAGAAGTGTCCTATGAGAATCAGAGATATTTGTTTGTGTATGGGGGCCGCAGTGTGGCCGAACCTGTACTAAGTGACTGGCATTTCCTACATGTGGGGACAATGGCTTGGGTCAGGATCCCAGTGGAGGGAGAAGTACCTGAAGGTCGGCATTCCCACAGTGCCTGCAGCTGTCAAGGGGGAGCCCTCATTGCTGGAGGTCTGGGTGCTTCTGAGGAACCGTTAAGCTCTGTACTCTTTCTGAAACCAATCTCTTGTGGATTCATCTGGGAATCAATAGCCATCCAGCCTCCCATTACCCCAAGGTACTCCCATACAGCTCATGTGGTCAATGGGAAGCTTTTGTTGGTTGGAGGGGTCTGGATTCATTCCTCCTCAGTTCCTGGAGTGACTGTTATTGATCTGTCTACAGGACTGAGCTTCGAGTATCAGATTGACACAACATGTGTGCCATGGCCGTTAATGTTACACAATCATACCAGCATTCTCCTTCCTGAAGAGCAACAGCTCCTGCTCCTTGGAGGTGGTGGGAACTGCTTTTCCTTTGGTACCTACTTCAACCCCTGTACAGTGACATTAGACCTTTCTTCCTTAAGTGCTAGGCAGTAAGGACTGGACTTGTGATATATTCAGGACCCACTAAAGTAGACAATAAAGCTTTCCAAAATAGTATTTGACTCTGGCTATAGATATTACCACTCCCCTGTTCCCATTCCTTTTTTTGTTTTTGTTTTTTTCTGTTCAGTGCAAAAAGAAAAAAAGTTGTTTAAACACACACCAACGTTCAAAGAGATGGTACAAAAATAAAACATAAATAGGGCTATCTGAAGAGAGTGGTCATATAGTCCTAGAGTAGGAATTGGGGGCCTTTGGGTCACTGTATCTAGTTTACTGGTCTTCCTCCCATTTTCTAATCTGAGTTTATCCATTTACTGAGTTACAATGACCTGTAGCCTAAGTCAAGTGAAACTTTTCCCAATGCCAGGCTTTGTGATTTTAGATGGGACCTTGGAAGAAGTTTCACACAGATCCTTGGTAACAAGGCTGAATATAGGTGAAGGGACATGGTATTGACCTCGTTCTTCATGTATGAAACCTGAAATGAACCCAGTTGCAGTTTGATTAAAGCATTGTGCCATTTAGTGCAGCAGAGAACTCTGATAGCTTTAATAAGACACATTTGTATGACTTTATTGACACATGGTTTTGTTCCATTTTTTTGCCACCGGTTCTATATTTATTTAGAATTATAAGTGCTAATAAACCAAACATTTGATTTCTCAGCTCATTTTGTATATGGTATGAAAATGTTTTGCTCCAGATCTACTCCACCCTTCACTATGTTCTGTGTCCCAGGAGGCCAACCTTTATGAATTGCATCAATGAGTTTACTTGTTCTCTGGTGTTTGGTGAGTTCCATCAGTCAGAGGTACCAGAGAGGGATGGTTGGACAGTGAGAGTATTCCACGTGTTTCCCCTACCAGTCTGCAAGTTGGCATTAGCTGCATTCCTTTTTTTTAAAATAAATTTATTTATTTTTGGCTGTGTTGGGTCTTCGTTGCTGTGCGCGGGCTTTCTCTAGTTGTGGTGCGTGGGCTTCTCACTGCAGTGGCTTCTCTTGTTGCAGAGCACAGGCTCTAGGCGCATGGGCTTCAGTAGTTGTGGCTCGTGGGCTCTAGAGTGCAGGCTCAGTAGTTGTGGTGCACGAGCTTAGTTGCTCTGCCACATGTGGGATCTTCCCAGACCAGGGCTCAAACCTGTGTCCCCTGCATTGGCAGGTGGATTCTTAACCACTGTGCCACCAGGGAAGCCCGCAGCTGCATTCTTTTCGTAAAAGCCACAGCTCCTGTCATGTAGTCTTCTATAACGTATAGCTCTAACTCTGCAACACTCCAAAGAATTCTGTATCTTAGTTGCATTAACCATATTTTAAGTGTTCAATAGCCACATGTGACTAATGGCTACAGTATTAGACAATATAGATGTAGAACATTTCCATCATTGCAGAAACATCTGGACTCCACTGAGGTACTTCACCATCTTGACTTGGTTTCCCTTAACCCTGCTCAACCCCTTTTAATTAGTATCTTCATTAAACTCTCCTCAACTATCCCCTTGAAATGGACCATCTTTCCTGGTGAGCCTTGTGAGATCATGAAACATCTTAGGTATTCATCCTTAAAACTTGAGCCGTAATTTGTCATCTAAATTGTGAATACCTTGTGAAGTTCGTGTGTCAAAAGGTAGTGGCTTTGTTGGTACTTAAGTGTACCACTTCAGTATTTCTTGTTAGTCTTCAATCCTTGAAACCTTAATAATAACTTGAGATTCTACAAGTACCTAAATTCTACAAGTACTATCAATGTTAACATCTTGATGGACTTAGTATGACCGAGAATCTTTTTTCCCTAATATTTTAATTAACAACTTTGCATATAAATGCATGTAAAAAGTGTTCAATATGAAAACCAAGTAGCAAACACAAGCCTAGTGTATGGAGAGGGCAATGTTGGCTCTGTTGGATGAAGGTTCCCAGGAGAAGACAAACTGAATAAACTGTTGTTTAACTTCGGCTTCCCTGAGACTGCACAGCCCTTTCTGGGAGAGTTACTAGTTACTGTCATGAGTCCTGGTAAACAAAGGACTTAACTATGGCTAGGCATCTGCAAGGCTATCGGTGGGCCAGGTACTAGGTTACTGGCAAGACTGTGACTGGAAGGGGAAAAGGCTGCTCTGTATTTTTTAAGTTCACCACAAGCCCACCTCCAACTTTTAGGAGCAGATCAAAGCAGAACATTAATGAAGTGAGTGTTCTCAGCTATGTAGTAGTTAGTACCAGAATTCTAACCTAGAAATAACTCCAAAGCCCAGGGTATCCCTTCCATTATGTTACTTCTTAGATGGTACCATCAACCATTACTATATCATTACTTTGGGGCCATATAGAGGGGTGGGGGTGGGAGGGGGAGGCTGTCAGGAGAATGTGGATGTATGCCAGACCTAAATTACTAGCACAGTGATGCCTATTCTCTCAAGTGCTGCCCAGTATGGCACATTGTGAGTAATTGGGCTTGTTCCACATTTCTATGTGATTACCGGATTAAGCATGCGCTCCACCTCTGACCCTACACATGCATCATACTCAGTTAAAGAGGTATTCATTTCGCAAGCTCTACTCTTCAGAGCACTTAGAGTTTTGTCCTCAACATTAACTCTGTGCCTTTGGAGCAGCACTCAGAGGTGCTGGGTCCCAGTTTCATAACAGTAATCCACAGCAGTTAGAGATGTGGGCCAGATTAAGAACTGAAGTTGGACTATGCTTTTTGTTTCTCCATTTCACCTCTGAATATCTTTGTTTTAAAATTCTGGTATGGAGTTCTGGGGCAGTTATGAGAGTTATCAACTTCTTGATTGCAGTTTCCAGCTGATCTTCATCCCTTTTTGCTCAACAATGGACCATGGTTACCCCATACCCATTGGAAATGAAATGGGTTCACTCTGCCAGAAGGCTAATCTGAGGGAGTAGGAACATGCATAAATGTGCTTGCGAGCACATGAATACAGGATTTTCCTAGGATGTGCTGATGCTTCACTGGGTATGACTTGGTGTGTAACTCTCAAAGTAAGTTTATCAGGGATAGGAAAGACCTTGCCCTAATATTTATGTGAAAAGTCATTTGCCACCTAATTGTCAGACTAAGACTGGGAAATAAATTGTAATAAGAATGATTTTTAGGATATTACACTACATAAAGCTTTTCTCATTCCCTAGCTTTTGTCCACATTTTTAGACTTTTCTAATGGAAAGAGCCTCAACCTCTGATTCATATTTAGACTTGCTATTTCAGGAAAAGTTAGCAAAACTGATCTTTCTTATTCAAGGATATATCAGAAATTTAAGGAGGAAAAAAGCTTTGCCACCACCCTTCCTCCCCCATTGTCTTGCTTTTTTCTAATTATCATTTATTTCTCTATTAATATTTATTATACATACTATGTAATTCTTCATTGGCAGCTTTTTCATAAGGCCAGAATCTGACATTCCCTATCTCACAAGCTTCATCCCCTGCCACTCCTCCTCCCCTTATTGACATCCCACTTATATAGGAAGTATACCTGGGACCCAAAGGACAGAATACTGTTACATGCTTCCATTCTTTTACTTACCGTGTTCTCCCTGTTGGGACTCTTAAGACTGCCTCTCCTACCTTACTCTCAACCTCACTATCCCAACTTTGTTCATAAAACTCCTACTTGACTCAAGGCTTATCTTTGGAAATCATTCCCTGGTTCGAATCCACCACCCTTTCAGGCTGGGATGGGTTACTCTTCTGTGTTGCCAGAGCACCTTGTAACTGTCATCCATATTGTGTTATAATCTATTTTCTCATCTGTCTACTCACTAGATTGAAGATCCTTGAGGGTAGGGATAGTATCTTATTCACCATTGTATTTCCAGCACCTGGAAATACAGGTGTCAACATCAGAATTGAACAACGATCTCTCATTGTTGGGGTTTAACATCACCAGATCTTTCTCATACCTTTTTAATGTAATATATCCTGTGCCACTGGCTTCCTGGGGAAGAAGAGAGTAGCAGTAGTGAAAAATAATACAATGACACCCCAAATGCAAGCCTGTCATGCAAACCTGTGCCCTTGGTCAGAAGTGCAGAGAGAATCAGCGAGAACCTTTAGAACACAGCTGTGATTATAAACACCTGCTTTCGGGAACCCCTCTCTTAGTCCCACTGCTTCCCCCATCTTCCACTCAGACATCTGGTGGGTAGTGACAGAGATAAGTAACCACAGAGACAGTGGATTTTTTTTTCTTATTTTAGAAGGAGACTAGCATATTAACCACATTTAACTATAAAGAAGATCCACTCCATAGTGACTTGAGCCTGCAACCTACCCTCTAGCCCAATTTCCTTTGAGTTTGCAGTTTGGGTAAGATTTGCTTGTGGTCACTTTGGGTTTGAGCTGACGACCTAGACTCACACCAGTGTCAACTCGACTAGAGCACACAGCATCGAAGTTTCTGTACCCTGCTATGTGTTAGCCAACAGCTCATTGAAAAACCCTTATTGTTAATGATAAAATGAACGTATTTACAAAACAGAAACAGATTCACAAAGAAAACAAAGTTATGGTTACCAAGGGGAAAGTGGGGGAGGGATAAATTAGGAGTTTAGGATTAGCAGATACAAACTACTATATATCAGGTAGATAACTGAATCACTTTGCTGTACACCTGAAACTAACACAACATTGTAAATCAACTATAGTCTAATATAAAATAAAAATTACATTAAAAAAATAAAATAAACGACAAAGTCCTACTGTGTAGCGCAGGGAACTATATTCAATACCCTATAATAAGCCATAATGGAAAAGAATATGTATATATATGTATAACTGAATCACTTTGCTGTACACCAGAAACTAACACAACATTGTAAATCAACTTTACTTCAATTTTTAAAAAGGCTATAGATTAAAAAAAAAACCTGTTGCTATTTATTGTGTATATGCTCATTATAGAAATATTTAAAAAGCAAGATCTGATACATTTAAACATTTTCCAGGACTTTCTAACCATGTTGGGGTTACACTGTATGCCTTTTTTATAAACTCTGAATAAAAATTTTCACAGCCACAAAGAAAGTTAACTTCAGGGGGATAGAATCAAGTGATTGATAGTTCTTGTGCATGACTCTTGTTCAGCTGGTGTCTGCATGACAGTTCCTCAGTTGATGAATCTCCTCTTTGATGAGTGAGTGCCTTCTCTTGCTATATCTGATAAGAATCACTTCAAGTCCCTAAGGTTACAAAGATTATGAAACTAAGATATATGGTATTATTCATGCTATTTTTTTTTACAAGCAAGATGAGAGCTATGGTCTACAAAATCAGCTCTGGGGAGACCTGAGAAAAAGAATGAGCAGGTGAAGAACCAAAGTACCGCTACCCAAGGTAGAAGAGAAGTAAATACAAAACTGAGGAGCACAGCAAATGTGTAGTCATTGGCAACCTGAATTAATGTTCTCTCATCCTGAAGAACTAACCAGAGAGAACTGTGACAAAAATTCATGCTGGGGCTTCCCTGGTGGCGCAGTGGTTGAGAGTCCGCCTGCCGATGCAGGGGACACGGGTTCATGCTCCGGTCTGGGAAGATCCCACATGCCGCGGAGCAGCTGGGCCCGTGAGCCATGGCCGCTGAGCCTGTGCGTCCGGAGCCTATGCTCCGCAACGGGAGAGGCCACAAACGTGAGAGGCCCGCGTACCGCAAAAAAAAAAATTCATGCTGAACAACTAAGCCAATGGCAGCTGTGTAGTTTAAGCTCATGGGATTTGGAGTTAGATAGACCTGGGATTGAATCCTGGCTTTCTTTCTTACTGGTATGTGACCTTGGGAAAGTACTTAACTTCTGTAAACCTCAGTTCCCACATCTGTAAAATGGGTGGTATAATAATGGTACCCACATCAAAAGTTGATGAGAGAATTTTATAAGACAATGTAAATAGTGCATTTTAGCACAGT